AGGAAATTTTAAAATATGAGTATTTAATTACATCTAATTGTAAGATATTTTTGACAATACTTAAACGGAAACTATAGATTTAAAAAAAAAAAATCACTTTGAGAATGTTGATTTAAATAATAATAATGATAAGATAAATATTGTTTCAACTCAAGGTGAATCCTTAAGTAATCGGCCAGTGAATCTTTTAAGAAGATAAACAATATAATGCTGTTTATAGTTACAATATATCAATTTATATAAAGTGCAAACAAGGAACCAACAAATTGAATTTAAATTGCAATGCATTTAAACTCTCCATTTATTTCCTCATGCTTATTGTGCTCCGTTTTAATCACTGGATCAAAGTCTTTAGTCATTGAGAAACCTAGAACATAAAACACTTTATACATCATTTATTATAGTTATTGTAATGCTTTTATGTTAATATTTTTGATGTTGCATCAGAAAATATTTTAGCATCTTAAATGCAAATGGCTCGAGGTGCTCTAATAAAGACTAAGTACTATTTTTAAACTAGAGCCTATTAAAGACAAACCCCTGACAAATTTCCCTGTAGATGTGTCTTGATTTGAAAACTGCCATCGAAAGCCAACTTTAGTTTTATGTTTCTGTTGTAGTGGATGACCAGCAGAGGCATGCTATCCAATGCTAAAGCTATTTAGCCTGCACCACTCAGTGCCAGCCTATCTTTAATCAGACCAGTTGCTGGCATCTGAATGAAGCCTCCTACAATGAGAAAGAAGGCACCGCAGGAAATGCAATAGTCTTAATTTTGGCACCAACAACGCAACCTTTCCATCAGTCTGAGCACACTGTCTGCACGAAGAGACGTGAGGTTGGCAGAATCATGCTGTCGGGATGTTTTTCTTGCGCAAAGACGCAAAGTAAAGTTGCAGAACAAAAGATGCTGCAAAAGACTTGGGTGAAGGTTCATATTTCAGTGTGAAATCTGTGGCAGGAGGTTAAAGATTTATAGTCAGTGATGCTACCTATTTAGATATTTGCAAACAGCAAAGAACATTAATCATTGGGATGTGCAAAGCTGACAGACATATTGGTCATTGGTTGTTTTCAAAACTTTATTTTCCTTCCACTTCGGACATTTTTGTCTGTAACAAAATCCCATTAAATACAGGAAAGCTATTGGTTTACTTGTGCCATGCACTGCAGCGTTAGTTCATTGTCTCCCTGGTCCCTTCTGCTGCTTAAACAGGAAAGGCCCTCTCCTACATCAACAAGCAGTACTTCAGTGACGCCAATGGAAACCGAGGAGGCGCTCCTAACGTAGCTGTGGTGCTTGTGGATGGCTGGCCCACTGATAAGGTCGAGGAGGCTTCTCGCCTTGCCCGAGAGTCTGGCATTAACATCTTCTTCGTCACCATCGAGGGCGCGGATGAGAACGAGAAACAAAACCTAGTTGAGGCCAACTTTGTTGAGAAGGTGATGTTTTGTTCTTTAGGTTTGTCAGTGCTTTCATTAAAATGGTCTGACACACTTGTTCTTCGTCCCACAGGCTGTGTGCCGAACAAACGGCTTCTTCTCCCTTCCTGTGAACAGCTGGTTTGCTCTGAGAAAAGCTGTCCAGCCTCTGGTGAAGCGGGTGTGTGACACAGACCGCCTGGTGTGCAGCAAGACTTGCCTCAACGCCAACGACATCGCCTTCGTGATCGACGGTTCAAGCAGCGTTGGGACGGGCAACTTCCGCACTGTGCTGCAGTTTGTGGCCAACGTCACACGGGAGTTTGAGATCTCGGACACAGACACACGAGTGGGAGCTGTGCAGTACACCTATGAGCAGAGGCTGGAGTTCGCCTTTGGACAATACAATAACAAGGCAGAGTTGCTGAACGCCATCAAGCGCATTAACTACTGGAGTGGCGGGACCAGCACCGGGGCCGCCATCACCTTTGCAGCAGACCAGCTCTTTAGCAAATCCAAACCCAACAAACGTAAGATCATGATCGTTATCACAGACGGGCGCTCTTATGATGACGTCAGGGCACCTGCACTGGCGGTCCATCGCCAAGGTAAGACCTCACCACAAACAAGGTTAGGAATATAAGGAATATATTTTTTTTGGTTTGTTTTTATATTTTCTGAAGTTAAAATCATAATTTTTAGTGTAATTGGTTTCTCATAAAGTTATTATCTAGAGAAAAAAGGTTTTTTAGATGCATTCCTTTCGTGATCTAGATTAGTTTTATCACGTTGATTAAGAATATTATGACATAATGAGCAAATTAAATTGGTTCCTTAAATCTTTAGAATGGATGAAATACATTATAGCCTAACGTAATGCTACAGAGTGCAGCAGACTAACAAAAATAGTGCATAATCATAAAACTGATGTAAAAAAAGAAAACTTGTTTGAAAATTTTACTACAAATTAAATCCTAAGTGTGGCATGTGTTTACACTTTCTAAATGGATGAGTTTTACATCACCCTGAATACACCACCATTATTGTATAAAATATGGTGATGTTGGCATCATGCTATGGGGTTGAATTTATTAAGAAAAGAGTAGGAGGATGTTTTGGTCAGATGGGGTTAAAGGAGGAACATGTACAGCTCTGGCATTTATAGGTTTTTGCAACAACTAAGGAATATAGCGTCCCTCATGGGGAAAATTTGGTGGTGGCTGCATCATGCTATGGGTCTGTTGTTCTCTAACAGAAGAAAGAAGCGCTTGAATTAGATTGAAAGATGGACGGAGCTAAATTCAGGCTAATATATTTTTAGTTCTATACTGTTGGATCCCAAAGTGGGGGGGCGCCCCCCAGATGAGGGTCCATTGTAATCACAAGGGGGGCACCGTAGAAATGAATTGAATAAATGACCCATTTTGAATGATATTTTAGAGAAAACAAAATCTCGATAGCAATGTAGATTAAATAAGCATTTAAAATTCAAATAATTTAAAATTGGTAGTTTTTTACATTAAAATAATTTACTTTATTTTATTGCAATATAGAATCTCTTGAGGTTGATTTTTCTATGTTGAGCTGTTCATAAGGTTGTGCATGAGGAGGGGGTAATAGAGGGCGTGAAAACTTTTCTGTGAACAAACGGGTCCCTAGCAACAAACACTTGGGAAGCACAGCTTTAAACCGTACCATACCTTCCTTGTACTTTATTATGGAATACTTTGTCTTGTTCTGCAAAATGCACCTTCACCTAATTAACTAAAAAACATGTGATGATAACTTCCCTTTGAAAGGTAGAAGCTAAATGGCTTTAATCTCACACTAGACTTAAAAGATACATATCATGGCCTGATATGTGTAACCCGCTCCCCTCTTCTCCAGGTGTGATCGCCTACTCCATCGGCATTGCCTGGGCCGCCCAGGACGAGCTGGAGTACATCGCTACAGACCCCGACAAGGAGCACTCCTTCTTTGTGGACGAATTTGACAACCTCTACAAATACGTCTCCAAAATCATCCACAACATCTGCCAGGAGTTCAACTCTCAGCCCAGAAACTGAGGTTGTAGGTGTGACGGAGGAGGAAGTGTCAGGAGGAGCATGTTGGATCCAGGCCCTCTTCAAAGGAACGTAAACATTCTCACCCTGCAGGCCCAACAACGGTGTCGCCGGGTGGGATGCAAAGCCTTTCTGTTAAATATTTGATCACCCTTAGCAGGATTTGTAATATCATTTTAAAATTGGTTTCCCTTTGTGGAAACATTTTTATCAAGGTTGTGCTGATGATAAAACCAGTTTGTTAGCCAGCTTTATCCATCCTGAAACCAGTTCTGAAGTCCAAGTTTAAGACGCCTACCCATTAAAGACCTCACAGGACCACCTTCTTTCTTAGTACCACTGGCTGAAAGACCCCCATTAACACGCTTGAATCTATTCGTTGTGTAGCAACCATCAAACCATCAAATTGTGCAATTTATCATTATGGATATAGATATTCTTAAATGAAATAATAACAGCAATAGCTCCTAAAATTATACCATTTGTCATCTGATTGCCAGGTTATACTAATGGTTAGCATCGGTAAACATTTAACATGGATATCCAGAAGGAGAGCAGCAACACCTGCATCACTTCTAAGCCTCGTTCTGCTTCTTTAAGATCTGCTTGAATCTGAAAAATGGACCGCAGAGAAGAAGCTGTCATGGAGTGATAAGATCTGGATAAAAGCTGGAGTATTAAAATTACCATGCATAGAAAATATATTCACTTGGGATTTTAACTGCATTTCCTATTTTATTGAAGCACTACAATCATGTTCATTATATTAAAAAAGTTTAGCAAAAAAAGGGCAGAAACAATAATCAGATTAATCGTGATTAATCGATCATTGAAATAATCGTCAACTAATTTAGTAATCGATTAATCATTAACTGGAGTATAAGACTCTAAAACATGCCTTTAGCTGACAGAGCAATCCACTTAGAGCCGTAATTTTATCAAAAAATATATAAACATTTTGCATTTAAGATAAAAAAAACAAAAATAGATAAAATTGTCAATATTTTCTATCCAGGACACCACAAGTGGAATTTTTATTTTTTTTTCGTCTTTGAGGAATCTTTGGCAATCCAATTATTAATCGATTAATCCAAAAAAATAGTCCAGAGATTCATCAACAGCTTTTAATCTCAAATCTGAATCTAATTTTTGAATGGAGTTGCTTCGGACCGGCTTTGCCAAAGCTCAGACCTCAACCTTTTTTGAAAGTTTCAGACAATCCTCAAAAGCTGTGTCTATTTAAGCAGAGCAACAGATTTAAATTAGCTCTACTAGCAGATTTATCAAATATCTAATCAGAATTATGACAGAATCTTACTGATGGAGACTAAAGTATATAAGAAGTAAAGATTCAACTCTAAAAAATCTCTTTAATTGAGGATGTATATATTAAATCTTTATAATTTTGTCTCTGAGGAACAAGTTGTATAAAAAAAAAAAATCTATCTTGTGCAACTATTTCTTGTTTTTCAAATTCCTTAGTTTTCTGTTGTCAAATCAATCAAACCTTAACAGAAATGGTTCAAACACCTCCCCTCAAAAGCTCACTCATATTCACACCGATGATGAGTTTTTGTTAACTTTTCACAGAATCCATTATTGAATTTGGATTTTTTTATTTTAAATGTGTCAAAAATTTGTTATAAACACAGAAAAAGCTCATTAAGACCATATCATTAAAAGCATAAAGTTTGACTCTTGTGCATCTTGCAGTGTTGCACCATTTGCTGGTGACACAAACAGCATTAATCTAATTCTGTTAAACAAATGCGGATAAATTAACTCGTTTATAGAAAGTTTGGGTTGACGGTTTCAGTAATTAACCTTTAAATCACAATTTCTGAATTTAAGAACATTTCGGTCTAAAATATAGATTTATTTAAAAGTTTAGCTTGTATAAGTTTATAACCAAAAATGAAAGATCCACAATGCAACCCTCCTCTGTGTTACAGGAGAGAGATTTGAATGTGATTTACGTTGCAGACAAATGTAGGTTTGATCCATGCCTAACACTTCCTCTAATGGCTTCCTCCTATACTTCAAACACGTGTTAAAATGGTGCTTTTATATAATTACCTGTAAAGAGGATACCCTCTCTTACAGTCGGTGCATTCTGATCTTCAGAGCAGGACATCTGATCTGAGATCAAGTCAGAGACTATGGTGCTGTTATCTGATTCTTATAAAGCAAATGACCAGCATGGATGAGGACTCGTGTGAAAAGTGAACTTGTTTTAATGCATTTTCAGGAACAAAAGCAATTTATTTCACCCCTTTTTGTATTGTGATAGTGAGCGGCTCTTAACATATCAAGCATTTCGAAGTTTAAAGAGTATTTATGAAATTAAAGCTTTTGTTTTCCTGTTTGTACATATGCTTATTAAAAGGCTTTGCTTATCGTGTGATCGCATTTTTACCCATTTTTAATAAAAAAAAATGAAGATAACGTGTCATATTGTAAATAGCCTGATTGTACACCTGTCTCATTCTTTGCAAATATAAAGAAAATCATATAGTTTCAGTCACATTTACACAGGCTCATCTCACAAATACTTTTTTAGTCTGGGTGGAATAAATAACAGTTTGTGCAAAACAAAAATATTATTTTGTCCTATATATATAAATGCACACAGTTTAGTATTTAGTTCTATTTTTATAAGCATATATGTATATATATATAATTTTTTGCAAGTTAGAAATTAGCTTTAAACAAATTACCCACATAACTTCAGTAGTAAAGTTAATAAGTGTTTATATGGTCAGCTATCCTGTTTTAATTATAGTAGTTTGAGTTAATAGTAGGTGATCTTCACACCATCCATCACCTGCTTATCCTTGCAGCCTATAGGGTTATAGGACAGGCAGGGTCAAGGGTGTAACTCTGTGATGGGAGTCGGCGGGGACACTCGGGTGGTGCTGATGGACCTACAGTCACTTGACCTGAACGCTTTAATTAGGGTTTTGTATTCTCCAAAAATGAACTCAAACATGTATCTATTTAATGTTTTCCTATTGTTGAGACAGAGGAGTATATATACACTAAAATACACTGCTTTTTATATTTATAGAGTTAGACAGATGCCTTTTAGTGCATTATTTTTAAAGGGTTTAAAAACATTGTATAAAAAAATTATGAATAACAGCCGATATCCGATTCCAACAGCAATGTATTGTGCATCCCTAATATGGACACAGTTTTAATTCCGTCCATCCATATTTTTCTGGATGGATGGTTTTCCTTTCAGCTACATCAGTGATTATCCTGCTTCACAAGCAGCAAAATCAGATTTAGAAATTTGTCCAACATATTGTTGACAGCCAAAATCTATGTATTGAACATTAGAATTCAAAAATAATTTATAAACTGATTTTTACTCTATTATTTGTGCTTTAATTCTTGTAGGTCGCTTATATTTTAATTTTAAGTCTGCCTTGTGAGTCTGGCTGGCTCTGGTTTGGTTGGCACAGCTATTTCTGATTCTTGCAGAAAAACAAAAGACAAAAAGATACGTTGAATTTAATTTTAGCATAGCATATTTTTTTCTTTTAAACTTTCTGGCAAACTTGGAGATATATTTTATTGCATTTTGCATATCCACAAAAAAAATCTTTCACTTGTGTGCAGTGGTTAGCGTGCACAACACGTGTGCAGAGGCCTTGCTCCTCGACCCGGGTTCGAATCTGATCTGTGGTCCTTTCCTGCATGTCTCTACCCCTTTTCCTGTCAGCCTACTGTCGAACAAATGGGCCACTAGTGCCGTAAAAACTCAAAAAGAGAAAAAACAGATTTATGAACCTGTCTACCAATATGCCAGAGAAAATTATTTTCAAGACATCTAGAAGCTCTGCAGTCTGATTCTCTATTCCATAAGAAAACATTTCTGTAAATTTTTTACCTGTAACTGTGAGTCATATTCTGAGAAGCCCAGCTTATTTTAATTCATAAAGAGGAGCTCAACATTTAAACTGTTTTCTCAAACTTATTGCACCATAATACTAACTTGTATAAACTTATAACCTGCTGCCATTTTTAGATGAAAAAGCTCCAAATGTCTAACAAATTGATTTTCCAATAACATCTATTTTTTTAAACCAACCCGTCTCCCAAATTTTACTTAAACATCTATTAAAGTTTACATAACATCAAAAATTTGTAACTTTCTTAAAAAAAGAAAACCTATCCAGTCAACCTATCCAGTCAACGCTGCAATTTCCCCACTGTGGGACAAATAAAGGATTATCTTATCTTATCTTATCTTAAATAAAACTATTTCAGGAGACATTAATCCCTTTAAGGATGAACAACTTTTTTTCTTCTTCATAACTTGTGATTTTCTGTCAGTGTGATGAAGATGCTATGGATGCAGTAAACCAGAGGAACTTATTTATAATATTTGAATGCATGTGAATCCTCTGCCCACTAGTTCGACATTACACCTGCTGCCAAATTCCAGCTAGCAGATGTTAACAACTCCAGAGGTGCGGAGTGAAGTAAACTTGGTAGAGCCCACCTTTATTCTTTTTGCTAGTTGTGAAAATAGTGTTTAATGGTTAATTGATTTGCTTTTCAGATCTGGTATTTGACCAACAAGCACAAAATTAGTGTAGTCCTGTTTCTCTGACTGTAGCTGGCTGGATATGCTCTCTTCATCCTCTGACATGGGTGCTGGCTCGAAGCTCTTATCCCTGGCTGTGTTTCCTGGATGGGGTCGCCTTTTACAGCTGCTTTTTGTGTCTCTGCTTCTGTCTCCTTGAACACCAGTCGGCCTCAGCAGATGGCCGCTCACACTGAGCCTGGTTCTGCAGGAGGGTTTCTTCCTGTTAAAAGGTAGTTTTTCCTCTCCACTGTCGGTACAAGTGTGCTTAGTGTGAGGGATTGCTGTAGAGTCAATGAGTCGATGCAATCAACTGGTTTTCTTTAGATAGAAAACTTTGAATCAATTTGACTGGATGATCTGGTGAACTGTAAAGTACTTTGACAACATGTGTTATGAGTTGGCGCTATAGAAATAAACTCATTTGAAAAAGTTCCTAATTAACCATTTTAGACCCAAATAAGGAAAATCTGGACATATTTAAGGCCTTTAACTGAATTTGCCTATTGAAATTTACTGAAATTCAAAAAGATGAACGTTTGGTTTAATAGACAACATTAGCAATGATTTAAAACCTCATCTCTTTAAAGTCCTAGTATCGTTTATTAACACTTTTCACTTAAAAGAATGCTTTAAAGAAATCATTCATGTGTTAAATAAAACTTTTGGTGGGTGACTGTAAATGTCTGACCAGAACCTACCAAAGAAATCAATTTTTTAATCAATAACTTGTTCTCAGGTTTTATCCTTTATAGGAAAAAAAGCATTAAAAATGACCAACATCTGAGCCCAATTAACATTTTACAGCAGGTTTTATTTCGAACATACTCTCATATACAAACCAGTGACTGAGAAAATGGCTCATGTAAAGCTGTACTCTCCTCGTACAACATCCCGTTTGCCTTTTTTTTTTTTTTTTTTAAATCTTTGTTTTCTTTCAAATCTCACAGATTTACAGTAAACTGGAACTGCAGGACATTTCTCTTGGTTAAATCATCGTTTCAAATAGTCCTAAAGTACTGCACTAATTTCCTGCTAAACACTGGACTACTGTAAATATCTGGACATGATACATCACATTGTGGTCAAGCATGTCCACACAGCTGAGAGGAGGGGGAAGAAAAAAATATATATACAGTACACAGCATTCAGTTCAAACAAGAGCAAACTGGCCAAAATGTGTTAGATAATCCTAAAGGTCGACATCTAGAATCCAGTCTGTTTAGTTTTAATTATATAACCAAGATGGTTCACTTTGGACACATTATGCTTGTAATCTGAAGTGTTCAGTTGCTTGAAACTAAAAACAGGCAACGTGTTAAATGGTCGTTATCGCCCTACCAGCTTTGTCTCAATACACACAGAAATGACATCCCAACCACACTTACCAAAAACTCAAACTCACGCTGCACTGTAAATTTAAGACTGAATATATATTTTTGTTTATTATAAGCATTTGTAATTTTACATCCAATGTTAAAACCGACAACATTGTGACAACCAGCATCCCCCTCCCTTCCCATTTTTTTTTCAACCCCCCTTCCCAAATAAACAAGCGTGTTAAAAGAACATTTTAAAGACCTTTTTAAAGCAAAGGCACATTCGTCAATATAGGTTTTTAAAAAGGAAAATAAAGGCAGGTCAAGCAAGCAGAGTCAGTGTGGGACGCTGAGGAGAGGAGCTGGGAGGCTTCTGCGTCAGCTCCGGTTGAGCCTTTGGCACCCCGCGGTTCTTAAACGCAACACGAAACTTGACCTGGAGGAAAACTTGGTTTATCTGAGGAGGATCGGGGATGAGCATGGAGCCACGTGAGGAGAAGGAAGAGGGGGCGTGATGGGACCTCACATCTCCGCTTCTCGCTGCCACCACCGGTCCTGAGCCTCGCTCCTTTCTGTGGAGGAGAAGTTTGAGTCTGTCTGCAGGGGGCGCTGTGGCCAGTCACAACCAGGCCTGCCTGGATGGTGAGGAGGGAAGATGGTTGGGACCAGTGAGCAGTTTCTCCTCCTTCCAACCTATTTGAGGCTATTGGCTACATGGTCTGCGAATCCAACAGGAGACCAGCGGGTAGTTTGAGGTGGGACTGGACCCCCTGCCTGACGGTCCTTCCCCTGCTTTGTGTCTATTGGTCCCTGATCGCTGGAGGCTGGGTCACAGAGCGTGGCTGTGGGGGAGGGGGGACGCGTTTCTGCGTGTCATACGAACACCTTGGCTAGAGCGTCCGCCCCGGCGCTGGCGATGTAGCATTTAGACGGGTGAAACGCAACGTCGTGGATCGACTCCTCAAACTTCTTTCTGTGAGCCGTGAATTCTTGGATGCAGGTTTTACTCTCCAGGTTCCACAGGCGGATGGAGCAGTCGTGACCTGTGGACAAAACAATGCCAGACTTTGACTTTTGCCTTTAAAAAGAAATGCCGTATTTTGGTATAAAAAGTTTATAAAAACACGTAAGTAGATGTGAAAAAAAAAAAAGAAAACTAATGGTTTACTTTATCTATTCAGGTTTTTTTTTTTTTCAACATTAATATATTAGATTAGATTAGATTAGATAAGCTTTATTGATCTCACAGCGGAGAAATTCACTGGTCACATATTGGCATAGTACTTAAAGAAGGTGCAAGCAAGGAGGAAAAGGTGCGTTAGGAATAAAAATAAATAAAAAAATAAAAATAAATAATAAATATAAAAAAAAACAACTTCCCATCATGTTGTTAAAATGTTCAAAATGTCAAATCTTCAATAGCTAGTAAAAATAGTTTAATAGTAGAAAAAATAAATCAGCTACCATCTCCTTTTTAGTGAGGATGGTAACTAGAGAGCCTTGGGTCCTCGTCTAGCCTGGTTGGAAAGTTTCAGATTTATTCTGTTTAATTACAGTTCTAGGTTAGTAGCTAAGTTTCTGTTTACATTTCCTGACTCAAGACAAACATCCACCTCATTTAATTCCCTCTGTTACCTCTGATTTTAAATAGCTATGAGAAACTGTCTGCACTTCTCCTTTAGCTGCAAAGTTACTTCATTTTTACAAGTTGCCCTTTGACCTTTTATGTAAAGGTTTAAAGTGGATTTTAGGCTGATTGGAATTTGTTGATAAATGCAAAGTAATAATTTTTAATTTTCTTTCTCTGTGAATGGCAGTAGAATTCATTCAATCTATACCCTATCACAACAGGAAGTCATGCATTTCTTAATAACATATCAGCATCAAATAGAATGTAGATCTTTTTAAAAATCCGTAGGACTGCCAATAATTTAGTTGTAATGGCCATTATTCAATAATTTGTGCACTGCTTACCCTTAAAATGCATTGCTCATATTAAAGCTGGGTTATTTTGCCTTTTAAATAATCACACATGAAAAAAAGGTGAGAAAGGTGATGTTGGGTCATTAACCTTGCTGCCCGTGTCCTCACTAAGACTAAGAAAGTAGAG